CTATTGGAAAATGTTTTCTATTTAAAATAAAAAAATAAATACTTAAATATTATATTTATTTACAGACAATTGACGAAAAATGATTGGATATTTGGAAAGTTAGTAAATTGATAGGAGTATGTGGAAAAATATAAATATTTAAACTGGTAGATTTAATTTCATTCGGCGTCATTGTCTTCCAGGTTGTTAACCAAAAACTTGTCGGATTTACATATACTACTCGGGGTTAGTGCGGCCTACTTAATTATTACAAGTGCAAATAAAAAACGTAGGAAAAGGCGTTCTTTGTGGGTCAACAATGTTTTAAGAACTCGAAATTTCGGAATTACAGATGCTTAGCGACTAGACGAGGTATTTTATTTAAAAACTTTTTACGCGAATGCCCAGACCAAATTTTTATTCAACATTAAATGTGTTTGAACCAGAAATAGTAGATGAAAAAAAAACACTCGTTTTAGAGACGTTGTTCCAGCTGAAACTAAATTGTTAATAACGATATGAAATTTAGCCACCGGAGTTAAATTCAACATAAAAAGCGCGTAAAACCTTGCGTTGTAGCGTACATCATAAAAATGTAGACGTTCAACTCGACAGGGCATAACATGTGCTTGCAAGCTTCTTTGTTCCACTAGTGGTGCGCTATGACGCATTTAACGCACGGAAAAGCGCAATAGTGTAATCATACCATTACGGATTCAACACTTGATTTAGATGGGTGGTACCATGGCTGATACACCTGTTTGAGGATGTAAAAATTATGGACATTTGGATTTTGGACCTAAGACTGTTTCAAAAATTACATTTACAACACAACATATACAGCGTTCATTGCAGTTGTTCTAAGATTTTATTTTTATGCAATACCATATCAAACGGACATCGATGCCACTGTCAATAACACAATGCAACTTGACAGTTACACTATTAGTATAGCAGTCATAAGATTACATATGTTTGATATTAAAATACACTTCGTTGACGACGTTTTAATCGGATACGTCCGACGATCATCGTCAGGGACATAACGAATAGGTACTACGACTGTTGTGACTCTCACACACCGCATCAAGAACGTTCTAATGATATAATTACGATTATGTATCATTATTTGTATGAATATTATATATATATGCACACGCATGTGTATTATTTCACAACCGTTGCATAAATGAATAATTCCGGGAGATCTTTTAGAATGAGTTATTTCGAAACATATATACATACGAGTATATTATGAAAAATCAAATTGATTTTATTTATTGCAGGACGTAGGAGTAGACAAGTATAGTTTTGTATATAGGATACGTATAATATGTAATTGAGCATTTATAGTTTAGTGGTATAATAAGCTTGTATTTTTTTTTTTAAACTTTTTTTTTTATATTATACTTGGCCCTATATTATGTTGACGTTCGTAAATTATGATTTCCGGCACAAATCGTACCTCGATTTGTACAAGATATGTTTGAATTTTAAATGTTATCTGAAAATAATGCAATGAAATCAGATTTCACAAGTCTTATTTATATAATTTTAATAATTGTTGTGTACAGTATCGTTCAAAACTCGATTGTGTGCATATTTACAATGTTAAAAATATATAACTAGACATTTTTTAAACAGAACATTAATGTCATTATAAAGTTGAACTATATCGTACTACCATAGTCTTCATTCTAATTTACGGTTTACTGACATTATAATATCTAATTGTACGTGTCGCGATTCCACTATAAAATAATAACTTTTGATAATATCAAGTATTTTATGAAAATAAGGACACAATAAAAATTAAAAAAATATTGATTCAAATTATATTATAATTATTATTATTATAATTTTTTTTTGTAACATTAAGCTTGATAAAAAATTATTTTATCATGATAAAAGTAAGTAAAGTAAAGTCACTGCAGTGACTTTTACATTTAATTATCATTATTTTTCTCTTCAAAATATCAACATACGAGTATAAGATAAATTGAAGTATAATAGATTAAAATATTTTTGGTCTCTGTCGTATAAAATTTAATGAAATCTAATCAGACGATATTATAAATTAATATCTAACATAAGACATTTCTTGCATTCATAATGTGTGCGATTATATGATTTTATATGATAACTGTTAAATAGTTTAAAAACAGATAAATAATATGTACATATTATATATATATATATATATATATATATATATATATATATATA